CAAGGGAGAAAAAGAATGAAATGAACAATAAGAGTGATGGCAAGTCTCTCTATCCCCAAGAAAAAGGAATGCCTCTAAGGGTTTGCAGAATAAGAGCCAAAAAATGAAAAGTGGAGTGCTTAAGGAAAGATGTAACCACTTATCCCATATGGTAGTCGTTTTTGAAAATTTCTTTTTTAGAATAGCTTAGTATATTATTTTTGACTAATCTACCAAGTTTCAAAATTTTTGGAGTTGATTTAAGCAGGTCGGGGTGACTGGGCAGCCAAAAACCAGTAACTGTAGGAAATTGCAGAAGCACTGCTTCGCGTTCGTGGTTGACTCTAGCGTTCGCGGTTGACTCTCGCGTTCGCGAAGGTGTGTGAAATTTCAAGCTTTTGCGTTCGCCATGATGAGGTCGCGTTGGCGACTGTTCGGTCAACTTTTACTCGTCGCGTAGGCGAAGCGGTCCTCGTGAAAGCGTGAAGTCAGGTNATATACGCAAGGCTGCCCATACTCACTGACTTCCCACTTAAGGCATGGGCCACCACGTTGGCCATCCCGGGATGATACAAGATGGTGATATCATAATCCTTCAATAGCTCTAACCACCTCCTCTGCCTCAAATTGAGCTCCTTTTGTTTGAACAAGTACTATAAACTCCGATGATCCGAGAAAACCTCACACGACATGCCGTAAAGATAGTGCCTCCAAATCTTCAACCCATGAACAATGGATGCCAACTACCGCATATTAATGATTTTTTTCATCAACTTCAAAGTGATAAGGTATTTTCGAAGATTGATTTGAGATCGGGGTATCATCAGTTGAAGATCAGGGCTTAAAACATTCCGAAGACTGTTTTCCGGACACGCTATGACCATTATGCATTTTTGGTGATGTCTTTCGGGTTAACCAATGCCCCATCAGCTTTCATGCACTTGATGAACATCGTGTTTCATCCTTATCTAGATTTATTTGTCATAGTTTTCATTGATGATATATTGATGTATTCCTGCGTCTGGGAGGATCATGAGCAACACTTGAGGATCGTACTCCAAATTTTTAGGGAGAAGAGGCTATATGCTAAATTCTCCAACTGCAACTTTTGGCTAGACTCGATGCATTTTTGGGTCATTTGGTATCCAGTGAGGAGATTTAGGTGGATCCAAAGAAGGCCGAGGCTGTTCAGATTTGGGCCAGATCGTCTACTGCTACTGAGATCCGGAGTTTCCTTGGGTGGGTATTATCGCCGTTTTATGGAGGGGTTTTCATCTATAGCAACCCCATTGACTAGATTGATGCATAAGGGTGCCCCATTCAGGTGGTATGATGAGTGTGAGGAGAGCTTTCAGAAGCTCAAAACTGCCTTTACTACAACTCATATAGCAGTTATCTTGTACTCTCCATAAGTTGCTACCGGTGCAAACCTCTAGAAATCACCACACTCAGAAGTACCTAGATCTGCACATAAAGTGTAGAGTGTAGTATGAGTACAATCGACCCCATGTACTCAATAAGTAGCAAACCTAACCTCCTGCTGAAAGCAGTGACGAGCTCGGAAGAAAGTCATGGTCCAACACAAATAATCAATAAAAACTCATAATATAATCAAAATAGAGAAAGTGAATAACTCAAAAGATATCATTTTCAGCTCATTCATAATTTCGGAAAATTAGACATGCTTTTCAAGTATAACAGTCAAAGCCCAATATTTCACCGGAATTTTTAAAATGTGAGTTTATTAAGGAAACTGTGATTTTCCAAACATTGAATCAACAGATAAGATATTTCATTTACCAGCTAGCATGAGGAAATGACATCTCTATGACTATAGGTCAAATATACATGTCAAGTCAATAAAATCACAGTGAAATTATCAAGTACACTCACTCTCAGCACACTCATGGTGCCTGGCACAAATGTCCCTCATCATCACACACACAATTACACTCAGCACTGTATGAGTGTCAGACACAAATGCCCTTTACCAAAGCACATATATTACTATGTGTCTGTGGTCACTGTAATATCAAACTTCGGATGGGGCGGATCCTAGCCCAAGCTATAATCAATAATCAATATAATTGTTGCGGTGTGTAACCTGATCGAAATATCAATCTATTGCAGTGTGCAACCTGATCAAATACAACTCATAACACGACTTTAAGGCTTATGTCTACCCGGATTATGAACACCCCGGTGTACGCACACACGCCCATCATCTAGCATGTATGTGACTCCCAAAACGTCTCAAGTATCGTAGTCCATATGATAATTACCCTCAAACAAAGTTTAGGTATGTTACTTACCTCAAAATGCGTGAATCAATACTCCAAAAATCCCTTCCCACGCTAATCGACCTCTGAACGACTCGAATCTAGGCAAAACAACTTAATATCATCAATAAAAGTAACAAGAAAGAAGCCCAAACAATATAGCTATGATCTTGAATCAATTATGTAAGGTCAACCCAAAAGTCAACCCCGGGCCTACATCTCAGAACCCGACAAAACTCATAATCATGAACATCCTTTCAGATTCGAGTCTAAATATATGTGTTTCACCAAAATGCAACCTCAAATCAACCCTCAAATCATCAATTTTACTCTCCAAACCCATAGTCAAAAATCCCAAATTTCACATTTAATTCACATAAACTAGTGTAATAATCCATGGGTAATTCATATCTAATATCAAAATCAAGTAAAGATTACGTAACCCTTTAATTGTGGTGAAATCCTCTCCAAATATTATCTCAAGCCGAGCTCCACAACTCCAATAACAACATACCAATGTAATCCCACAAGTGGGGTCTGGGGAGGGTAGTAAGTACGTAGACCTTACTCCTACCTTCAAGAAGGCTGAGAGGCTATTTGCGGAAGACCCTCGACTTAGGAAAGATAAAAGGAAGAGCAGCAATAAGCACACCAATTAGAAACCGAAGAAAAAATATAAAGATACAGAATTAAAACGGAGTACTGCAATCAGAAGGTCGGAACGAAAGCAACGACAAGTAATCACAGAAGTGAAGAAATACGAAAATACATATATAACACTAACTCATGTACTAAAACTACTGTCACAGATAAGGACAACGCTAAGCGACCTATCCTAACCCTTTACCTTAATTCTCAACCTCCACACCTTACTATCCATGGTCATGTCCTTAGTCAGCTGGAGCAACTCTATATCTTTCCTAATCACCTCTCCCCAATACTTTTTTGGCCTACCTCTCCTTAGGCCCTACAGGGCCAACCTCTCATACCTCCTCACCGGAGCATCTGTGTCTATCATTTTCACATGCCCGAACCATCTAGTGTTGCCTCACGCATCTTGTCCTCCACATGGGCCATGCCCACCTTATCCCAAATAACTTCATTTCTAATTCTATCTAGCCCGGTATGTCCCCACATCCATCTCAACATCTTCATTTCAACCACCTTCATCTTTTGGACATGGGAATTTTTGACTGGCAAACATTCTATAAAACTTACCTTTAAGTTTAGGTGGCACATATTTATCACACAAAACACCTGAAGCAAGCCTTTATTTCATCCATCACACCCCAATATGATATGTAAGATCCTCGTCGATCTCTCCATTCCCTTGTATGACCGACCTAAGGTATTTAAAACTCTCTCTCCTAGGGATGACTTGAGAATCAAGCCTCACTTGTCCGCCCACATCCCGAGCCGTACCACTGAACTTGCACTCCGAGGATTCTGTCATGGTCCTACTCAACTTGAAACCTTTAGACTCCAGGGTGTGCCTCCAAATATCTAATCTCTCGTTAACACCGCCTCGCATCTCGTCAATCAGAATAATATCATCTGCAAATAACATGCACCATGGCACCTCTCCTTGTATGTGGCGCGTCAGCGCGTTGATCGCCAAGGCAAATAGAAATGGACTGAGGGTTGACCCCTGATGCAACCCCATCATAACTAGGAAGTGTTCTGAGTCCCCTCCTATGGTCCTCACTCAACTCCATCATACATGTCCTTAATAGTCCAAATGTAAGCCACAGGAACAACTCTAGCCTTCAAATATCTCCATAAATCCTCCCTTTGCACTTTATCGTAAGCCTTCTCTAAGTCGATGAACAATAATGAAAAATGACCAAGCCCTTCAAAATATAAAGTTTTCCTAGTCATTCTACATTTGCGGAACAAATCATTGCACATGCAGCACCACATATGCAGAAATTCCCTCTCATGTTAGGAAGCCACTAATCCTCCCGACCAGCCGCTTCTGTGAATACCAAGCATATGCGGCTTCGCTTCTGCGGGAGTCCCTGCACTTCTACGCCAGCTCTTCTGTGCTCCACTATCAGCATCTTCGGGCTCAACCTACCAAGCAAGCAGTGCAAGTGATTTCAAGCAAATCAAACTCCGGTCAACTCTTATAACTTAAGCCTTCAACCAAGGGTCTAGGTGTCCCAATTCAATCCAAAACTTCCCCGAATCTAAACCAACGAACCTCACAAGTCACATAACGTCAATTAATATCTATAAAGCATCAAGAAGGGGAAACAGTGCTCAAATATACAAAACGACAGGTCGGGTCATTACATTTGAAAAATATGAATATTAAAATTTGTGGAAAGCTTTCGTACTACTAGAAACATGCATATTTTTCACAAAAGTTTCGACGGAACTCGAGGGAAAGCGCACATTGGAAATTATTTCCAGCGAATTTTGTCGGAAATCCTAGATTACTAATGGCATTCCGACCGAAACGTCCATAGGAAGCTTTCATCTAATTAATTCCTTGCCAACCAATGAAAAAAAAAAATCTTAGATTTTCGTCTAATTTGGTAATTTATTCAGCAATAAATTCACTAGCAGATTACGTTTATCTCTCAAAGGTAAATTTTTCTTTTTCCAATTCTTTACTCATGCTCTATATAAGTTCAAGTCGATGATAGTGAAGGCTAAACCAAAGGATAATCTTCCTATATATGCACTAAAGATTAGCATTTCATAAACACTCATTAAGAATCCCAAAACTAGTTTATGATGGCCCTTTATATAGATCTTAATCCACAGCCTTATCAAAAAGTTTACTTTCATCAATATGGTGAAAGAATACATTTAATTTCATGGACTCCTCCCCCTAGTGATGCATGGAAATTGAATTTCGCTAGCATCACTACATATGGCATGGTTGGGGGCGGTTTTGTCCTCCGCGATCAGTTCGCGTTTTTCAAATCCGCCTTTGCATCGGCATTTGAAGGAATGAACCAAGCGGTCGAAGTAGAACTTAATACACTACAATTAGGCCTATGTGATGCCATAGAAAAAGGAACGGATTACCTAGAAGTGGAAGGACATTCAGCGGAAACAATCCAATTGATTACCTCGCAAGTAGCTCCAACCTCACCTTTTGTAAAGTTTTTGGTTGGTAAATGTATCATTCTTTTGAGTTCATTTAAGTGGGTGAAGATTCATCCTGTGAGTGAATTTGCCAATGAAGGGGCTTTAATGTTGTCAAGGATGGCACTTAACCATATAGGTCCTAGGTATTGGGACGGGAAACCTCTTCTCGATATTAGTCAAATTTTAATGGAAGACGTTGTTGGACGTTGGGTTGATCGTAGAAGCAATGCTGTCGAAGTCGTTGAAGTGGATGATTGATTGGCCCTTTTAGATTTTCGATTGACTCTCTTGTGTTACCATCCGAGTTATTATTGATGTTTCTCTAGGTTATTTAATTTTTAATTTAAGAAAACCAATTATTTGTTATTCTAAAGAATTAATGTGTGTATACGGTCAAAATAGATTTCGGCTTTTCTACGTTCGATCGAGTTCGAGTGTTAAAGAGTCGGAATGAGATTTTGGAAGTTAGCTCCGAATTCGGTATTAACGAGCCTCGAGCCCGGAAATCGCTCAAGGAGTTGGCTCGATAGCTCTATCGAGCCCGTGACCGAATCGATCCGCAAGGCACTGTTTCGAGGTCGAAAATACGCGACGCCCATCTCGAAAGTCGAACGCGAGCTAAGACCGAAGTACCCGACCCAATAACGAGTTCAAGCCAGTATCGAGCCCACAGACAAAAGCCGTTGCGACCGCACCAAGAGAGAGAATCTTGGCAGGAATCAAGGAAGAGACAAGTCATCATGGGCCTTCCACTAAATACTTTATTTTATTATTTTTTTTTGTAATGACCCTCTTCTATAAAAGGGGGAATCCTTGTAAGCTAAAGCCAGAGATAAAAAATCACTTCTCAGATTGAAAGATATCCCTTTGTGTTACTTTGCTTTATCTTATTCATTCTCATTCCCTACTATTTGCATTCTCATAAGCTAAGAATTTACGTATTTCTATTTCTCTACACGATTTATATCAAATTGTATCGCATATTCGGTAAACAGTTTGGCGCCCACCGTGGGGCTAAGGGTAACAGTGATCGTTTGACATAAATCTAAAATACATGCCAGCTTGCAACTTCAAATCAGCAATGACTTTACCTATCGACCACGAAACTGGCTTTCAAGATGAAACCAACAACTTGGCACTCGGTGCCGGAAGGCCACTTAACGATGGCACCGAGGCTCGAATCGAAGTACCCGAAATTCGAGCCGAAGTACCATTGGATGTCAATTCACAAATAGCTTTGGAGGCGAATCAGCGTTCCGAACCGGAAAGAAGCATTCAGGGCGGTACTCGATCCGTAGCCCGAGACACCCAAAACATGGGAGAAACCGGGGCCAGCTTACGTATGATCTTCAATATGCTACAAGCCCAACAAGTAGCGATAGCTCAGTTACAGAGCCAAACTCGCGCACAAAGAAGGCCGGTTCCCAGTCCACTTCCAGAAATCACCCCCAGAATAGAGCCCGCCATAGTGAAATCAAACGAGCAAGAATGGGGGAATACTCCCGGAATTACTAAATTGCTCGAGGAACTCACAAAACGAGTCGAAGCCAACGACAAGAAGGTGAAAACATACAATGCCTGGGTCGATCAAATCCCGGGGGCTCCACCAATAATAAAAGGGCTTGATTCGAAAAAATTCATACAAAAGCCTTTTCCCTCGAGTGCGGCACCGAAACCAATCCCCAAAAAATTCCGTATACCCGAAATTCCCAAATATAACGGTACCACCGATCCTAACAAACATGTCACCTTTTACACATGTGCCATCAAAGGTAAGGATTTGGAGGACGATGAGATCGAATCCGTGTTGTTGAAAAGGTTCGGGGAGACCCTCTCGAAGGGAGCGATGATCTGGTATCACAATTTGCCTCCAAATTCCATCGATTCTTTTGCCATGTTAGCAGATTCGTTCGTAAAGGCACATGCTGGTGCCATAAAGGTTACAACAAGGAAATCAGACCTCTTCAAAGTAAAGCAAAGGGGAAATGAAATGCTAAGGGAATTCGTATCTCGATTTCAAATGGAACGCATAGAATTACCACCGGTCATAGATGATTGGTCCATACAAGCTTTCACCCAAGGGTTGAACGAGCTAAGTTCAACAGCATCATATCGGCTGAAACAAAATTTGATCGAGTATCCAGCGATAACGTGGGCTGATGTACACAACCGATACCAATCGAAAATTAGGGTCAAGGATGATCAGTTGGGAGCTTCGTGTGGACCCGAGCATCGGAACAGGACAACTAAAATCAAAAGGAGATCGACAGAGAACAAAGGTCGAACAGAGACCGATATCGACCGTACGTCGCAGATCGGGTGAACAACGGTTCAGCAGGCAATACAGTTCGGAACAATCGAAGGATTGATCAAGGGAAAAATTCTCGGGGACTTATGAGTAAGAGCGGCTTTGATAAATATGCTGATCCTTTAGAAGCACCTCGACTATCAGAATATAACTTCAGTATTGGTACATCCGCTATCGTGTCGGCTATCGGACGCATCAAAGACACTAAATGGCCTCGACCCATGCAGACTGATCCTGCCCAAAGAAATCCCAATCAAACGTGCGAATATCATGGTACCTATGGCCACAAAACGGAAGATCGTAGGCAACTAAGAGAGGAATAGCCCGCTTATTTAACAAAGGGCACCTTCGAGAATTTCTGAGTGATAGGGCGAAGAACCATCTTAAAAACAGGGATTCCAGCAAGCAAAACGAGCAAGAAGAACCACAGCACGTCATTCACATGATCATTGGCAGCATCAATACCCCTCAGGGACCGGTGCTTAAACGCACTAAAACATCAGTTGTGAGGGAAAAGTGATCTCGGACTCAAGATTATGCACCCATGGGGACTTTGTCCTTCAATGATGAAGATGCAGAAGGGGTCATCCAACCTCATAAGGACGCACTAGTAATATCCGTACTCATGAATAAAATTAAAATTAAGTGTGTGTTGATCGATCCAGGTAGCTCGACCAACATCATCCGATTGAAGGTCGTAGAATAGCTCGGCCTGCAGGACCAGATCGTACCCGCAACTCTGGTTCTAAACGGGTTCCATATGGCATGTGAAACCACCAAAGGCGAGATAATCCTGCCAATAAACGTGGCCGGAACCATCCAGCAAACAAAGTTTCACGTGATCGAAGGCGATATGAGATACAACGCCCTTTTCGGAAGGCCATGGATCTACAACATGAGAGTTGTACTTCGACCCTACACCAGGCCTCAAATTCCCGACATCGAGAGGTGTCAAAACAGTGTACGGAGAGCAACCAGCCGCGAAGGAAATGTTCGCCGTCAAGGAAGCTAAACCAATATTCTCACCTTCGCCGATAAAGGGATCGGGCTTAGAAGGAGAACGGGACACCAAATAGCAATCACAGATATCGGCTTCGACCCAGCCAGATAACCAGAAGATCGAAGAGGATGATGATCAAAGGGTTCCTAGATCTTTGATGATTCCCAATGAATTTGACGCCACCAAATCAACAGTCGAGGAATTAGAGCAAGTCGTATTAATCGAGCACTGGCCCGAGCGAAAGGTATACATGGGAACGGGGTTGAGCCCCGAACTCAGGAAGAAACTCATTCAATTTCTTATCGATAACATCGATTGTATTGCCTGGTCCCATTTAGATATAACAGGGATCCCACCGGATATAATGACACATCGGCTAAGCTTGGACCCCAGGTTCAGACCGGTGAAGCAAAAGAGAAGACTCCAGTCTGAGGGAAAGCACGCATTCATAAAGGACGAGGTAACCAAGCTTCTCAAAGTAGGGTCCATTCGGGAAGTGAAATACCCCGAATGGTTAGCCAACGTAGTTGTAGTGCCTAAAAAGGGAACAAACTTAGAATGTGTGTGGACATAAAGATTTGAACAAAGCATGCCCCAAAGATTCCTTTCCGCTGCCCAACATCGATTGCATGATCCATGCCATGGCCAGCCACGAGATCCTAACTTTTCTCGATGCCTATTCCGGGTATAATCAGATCCAGATGAACCCGGAGGACCAGGAAAAAACTTCATTTGTCACCAAATATGGAACGTATTATTATAATGTGATGCCCTTCGGGCTAAAAAATACATGGGCTACTTACCAACGCCTGGTAAATAAAATGTTCGAAGAACAAATAGAAAAATCAATGGAAGTTTATATTGATGACATGCTAGTTAAATCCCTACGCGCAGAGGATCATTTGACCCATTTGCAGGAAACTTTCAAAATTTTGAGGAAATACAACATGAAGCTCAACCCCGAAAAATGTGCTTTCGGGGTCGGTTCAGGCAAGTTCCTCGGCTTCATGGTGTCACATCGGGGAATATAGATTAACCCCGATAAAATCAAGGCCATCAAAGACATCGTCATTGTGGACAGCGTGAAAGCCGTACAAAGGCTAACGGGTCGGATTGCAGCCTTAGGCCGGTTCATATCAAGATCATCTGATCGATGTCACAAATTTTTCTCTCTACTCAAAAAGAAGAACGATTTTTCTTGGATCCCGGAGTGCCAACAAGCATTAGAGGAGCTAAAATGATATCTGTCAAGCCCACCACTACTTCACACTCCAAAAACAGATGAAAAACTTTGTTTGTACTTGGCAATATCGAAAATCGCCGTAAGCGGTGTCCTAGTTCGAGAAGAGCAAGGTACGTAATTCCCCGTTTATTATATGAGTCGAACCTTAGGAGAAGCGAAAACTAGGTATCCACTCCTAGAAAAATTGGCACTTACACTGATAAGTGCCTCTAGAAAGTTACAACCGTACTTTCAATGCCATCCCATATGCGTATTGACCACTTACCCGCTTCGTAATATTTTGCACAAACCTGAGTTATCAGGCCGACTAGCCAAATGGGCCATCGAACTCAGTGGGTACGATATCGAATATCAACCCCGTATGGCCATTAAGTCTCAAATTTTAGCAGACTTTGTGGCCGATTTCATGCCAATCCTCGTACCCGAAATCAAAAAAGAACTCCTGTTGAAATCAGGTACATCATCGGGGGTATGGATCCTTTTTACGGACGGGGCTTCGAACGTGAAAGGGTCCGGGCTGGGCATAGTTTTGAAACCACCCTCGGGTAATATTATTAGGCAATCTATTAAAACTATCAGGTTGACTAACAACAAGGCCGAGTATGAAGCCATGATTGCAGGTCTCGAGCTAGCTAGAAACTTGGGAGCGGAAGTCATTGAAGCCAATTGTGACTCTTTGCTGGTGGTGAGTCAAGTAAACAAAACCT